TCTAGTGGAAAAGCGGAAGCTTTGGTTGGGATTAGTGCATCGGTGGCGAAGGAAGCAAGAAAATTCGTCGACTCTGCGGAAAATGAAGCTCCTGAGAAGTAACGAAAATAGAGGTTGTACGAGATTACCATGACAGAAATGACATGGACGCGGTATTCGGACGAGATTTCAGTCGTTGTGATTGCGCAAAGAGCTGACTACATCAAGACAGAACTGTACAGAACTGCCTTCCACTGTCGTTGCAATTTGCCCGCGCATGCACTCGGGCCAATATTTGAGCCATTATAAAGCCCTATCTAGACTTTTTCGACCTGATCAGAGCCACATATTGTATATGAGGTGGTCACAGATTTATTTCAGTGGTATGCCTCATAAGCCGCTTTTATCGTAAACTGTGCATTTAAGGGGTAAAGATTTCAGCACGACCTACACCAAGTTGGGAAACGTCAATGCTCCTGACCATCGTTTGGATCGATCCATAGGAAATTTTTTTGGATTATTAAAACCATTGAGTTTTAATGAACAGTATTAGCAATGAATCTATCACGTTAATGCATAGCCTTGAAACTGTTCCGATTAAGAGCATTTTTCTTACCAATAAGACCTTTCACTAGAAATTGGACGGATATTCGTTACAGAAAGGAACGCTTCACGGGATCACCTTTGACCTTCCCTCGAACCACTTTTGATACGATGCAAATATATAATATTTCTACGACTGGTGCCTCCTAAAATGCACATCCGTTCCTCTCTTTTTTGGTTTTTACAGCGTTCTCTCTCTCTGGAGTCTCCTAAAAGGATCACCCTAGCAGCATCGTCCACTCTTGGTGCATCAAGTTTTCGAGTATTCCGCCTTCGTAGCCACTTTGCCAATAGGCTTTGATTGCCGATTCGACGTCCTCCCTTACGAAGCCACTTCGATGACGAGATACTCTGCAACCTCTTGATTAACCGTGGAGTGTGAGCCTAGTCAAAACTGCTACTCTTATGATACAACAAACCTTAATCGTAAGACGAGTAAAAGGCAAACAAATGGATAAGGCTAACATTTTTGGCGATATTCAAGCCCGTTTCCGCAATGCCCGCTCCATTCTGCTCTGGGTGGACTTCCATTCAAAATCGTAGTGGCGTTTTGAATGCGTGTCTGGCCCATACAAATGGCTTGCGTGGGACAGCCAATTTACAAGTCAATGCTCATATCCTGCTAGACGATTTTGGGACTAATTCACCGACCTCGAAGGAATAGAAGAAGATTTGGCTAGGCTAATCGAGAATCGACCCGGGAAATAATCCCCGAATAATTTGTATTTGTTTGTGCTACACTTTCCAAAACATCATCTTCCCCTTGGTTGGAATAGTTTCAGGAAATAAGTCGTTCCCTTGGGAGGATATTTTCAATTCCTCTACACGAAATCTTATTGGTCGGTTCACTTTTTGCTCTACCAATAAAAATCTGTTGTAAACTCTCTGACTAAAAAACTTCCGCAACGTAACAGGGACACCCCATATCACCAATTGCAAAGCAGTCGTTGCTAGACCAAAAGGTAGCCATCAATTAAATGGTTATGTGGCCTAACTAGTGACTGGGAGACGGGCACTAGAATCGGTTTGTGTAATCGATTCGCCGCACGCGGCTGTCGCGGACCACTCATACGCCGTTATTACAGCTCTAGCGTTCTTCATACAGCTCAATCGATTTTCGATCATTATTTAGACATAATTCTACCATTAGTTCTTTTGTTCTTGTACTTCTCACCTACTGCTGCATCTTGCTACATTCCTTCGCGCGCGACGCCACACGGCGACGCGACCGTTTCGTTCCTAATGCACCACACCCCCAGTGACTGGACGCAGAAACTGCGTAGTGCAGGCGGCAACAAGTTGACATCTGAAGTTTATAAGTTCCACAATGACTGAAGAACTGCGCCTTATGACACTGGCCCACCAATCTTGGATTCGACCACTGCTTCACAGGACTATAGTCGATCATCATGGTTCAGATTTTGGCCGATATTCGCTCATTGCAGTAACACAACGTGACCGGATTGGTAGGTTCGTAAAGGTGCTTTCTCTCAGCGCCCTTGAATGTACACAAGAATGTCCTGATAAGCTTATAAACATAGTTGCTAGAGGTGATAAAACTAAAGCTGAAGGCCCATCTAAGAAACACACGTAGACAGCGTGTAGTCGAAGCATTGCAGCAGCAAACCTCACACTGCAACCGTTCGTCTGACATATTCCCTCTAACCCACGAAGCTCTTTACAACTCATCCCTTTTGTCATCATCTGTTTTTGAAGTTCTAACGTTATATGGGCAGGAAAAACTTCGAGAGCTGTGAAAGTTTCGAAAAGAATGATCACTGAAAAGAACGACCTTTTTCTGTTGTTCTGGACAAAAGGTATCCACAGCTCATCCTCCAATGCACAATGGGAGATCATTGTTGTGAATGAGGATCATTTCCCATTTACATCAGAGGTCTTTAATGGTGTATAAGTCTCGATTGGCTCCTTTTGTTGCATGAATGTTGCGCATCATTAAAATTTTGCTTCCAGTGTTCGAGGGCTTACGCATTGAGCTGTAGATCGAAGATAGCGTACACCTTTCTAGTTCCAAAGAAATTGGCAGCCAGCCAATAGTGATAGATTGAAAAATAGTAATATCAGTCTCCTAACAAGAGCATGCCTACGGTCATACTCATGTCAAGGGAGTAAATTTACCCGTTATTTATAATTTGTTCTCTAAAATCAAATGTATATTCATGAAATTGATAACAAAGGGGGAACAAGCAACAAACAATAACAAAGGAACATGGTGCACTCGTACCACCCCGCTACATATCAGCGGTCTTCGCGGCACGTTTTCAACCTACCTTGTCCTTACTAATACGGGGCCAATAGATTTGAATTTGTCATGTTTTCGAGCTTAAATTGATTGAATTGAGGTTGAAATGGCGGAAATGGTGAAGACTCACTGCGGACCATTTGCGCGAGTGATCAACGAGTTATTGTTGAGTGCTAAAGGCGATTAAAGCCAAAAGGTTCGATTCAGTTCGAGATCGAAATAATGACCAACGCCCAAAGTGGAGATTCGCAGAGAACCATTTATTTTCTGCATTCTGCTTAGGTCTTTCCGCAACCATAGAATGGAAATAGCGCCCGTATGACATCGAAACAGCCAAAATCTTAGACTCCCTTCTCGAAAAACGATTGTTTTTCACATATCAAGAATCTGTGATCTATTGCTTGAACAAAATTCTACCAAAAACACGTACGAGAAGAGCCAGAGTAGTACTTAAGATGAAAAACAAGTACCGCGGCTGAAAGGTGAGCAAAGAATTTTCTTGGGAGAAAATCTATGCAGTACATCACTGTCGATTTATTAGGAATGTTTAGAGGCGAATGAGCAATTGCCTTCGGTCGTTGAGCCGCAAACACGGCTTATAGCAAGCATGCTTACTGAAGCAAGACACCTGAATAGTCATGAAATATAGCCCTATTCTGAAACTCTTAGAAATAACTGTTTGCAGGACAAGTAGGCTGTAGAGGGATCAATCCTGCAAGAGCCTGATGAGACTCACAGAAAAGTCTGCTTTGGGGTCAGAAAGCATAAGTTGAGAATGGTGTCCTGAATGAAGTTGAAGTTTAGGATAAGAACAAGTACGTTTTCCGGATCCCTAATGAACCGTACGCCTAATTTTCTTTGAAAACCTGATGGCCGTGATAAGTTTATTGGCGAAGCCCCAAACAAGAATTTGCCATAAGTTTTGATTGGCAATAGACAATACAACCAATGGGCATCCAAAGTTGAGCATAATCATAACCGGCACTAAAATATTGCCTTCAAGAACATAACCAATCTTAGGGGCTGGTCATTGACCACATGCAAAGGTGTGTGACAAGTGGCGTGACTGCTGTTGCTGCTTCATTACCAAGCTTCATGAAAATGCTAGCAGATGTGAGCACCTAGCGAAAAGTGGTTATTGGCTCAAGAGGGCATCGGAGGCGATGACGATGGTAACGTTGAATATTGACTCATGTTATTCGAGAGCCTTCTGCATTTTTACCTGCAGAGATAATGCACTCGTCAAGAAGCATTCTTGAGCCTTTGTTTCGTTTGCTATCATATTTGTTTCACGCTCTTGCAATATAAGTGGCAAGAAATGGTATAGCGACTGAACGAGTTGGAAGTTTGTTATCCATTGCACGAGATCGGATCCAGAGCAAATGATGTTGAACTAGCTCCGAGAGTTTTGCTGAGAAGGAACAAGGTTATTTTTATCGAAGGCAAACGAAGATCATAGCTTGGATCAGGTGCTGGCCACTCCTGCAGTTACCACAAGAAAATCCTCTGTTTCAAAAGGACTCGCCAATGCATCCCATGAACCAAGTTTCCCACAAAACTCAACATATGTTTCGGGCAGAAAAATTGAAGCTGCTGGAGGTAAAGTTAAGCAACTTGCAAGAAAAGCAGCACCTTTCTTCTCTAGAACAAAGGCTCCTTACAGCTCCTGACGCAGTGAAATGTGAAAGCAGCGGTGATCCGTGAAATCGCTGCCAGTGACGCCAATAAGTCGACGTGGATTAGCTCCCCAAAATAAACACACTCTCTGACTATCCAGGGAAGGACCTCTACTCGGGAAATTACATCATAATGGAAGGTAATAGGAGTCAGGAACAAAGAAGGAGAGAGGGTCCTCGACTAGGTCACGGCACACGAGGCGGTAGCATGTAGCACCTTCTTTGTGAAGAGGAAAGCTCAGAAGATAACCCACAGCAGCGGAGTGGGAAAACAAAATAATATCATGTACTCGTAAAGCGGTCATCCCTCAAATCTGTGAAGGACATAAAAGCACTGCCTGGAGAATCGAACTCCACAACACAAGCCTCTCCTAGCAGACACGCCCATAGATCTTTCCAAGAATTCAAGGAGAAGAACGGAACGGATTGTCCAGTGGTAGAAGCTGCACCGAGTCGAAAGAGAACAGCTCAATAAGAAGATAATGGGTGCTATATCCCCAGATCCCAAAGGGCCGATCCAGCAGACCCGGAGCAACACCGTAAAGGTCATCCTACGATTTGCACCGGAAATGCTGGGGAACTCGAGGTGGATTCCGAAGGGACAAGGAAGCATGGTTCTGGAAAGTCCGAGTCGAAGTCCAGCGACTCGTGATGCAGAAGTGATCGATCCCAAGGTTTGGCCAAGGACACGAGCTTAAGAATACCTAGGTGCCAACAGAACTTCCAAGAGGCTCGCTAAGGCTGCAGTAGTGAAGGCAAAGAATACGGAAATGGACGCCTTGTCTGTGGAAATCGATGGTCGGAAAGGAGAGAAGTTCGTCCTCTGGCTGGTGAAAGCGCGTCACCGGGCTAATCAGGACATCTGGGTAGTCGTCAAGAACAGCGGGGTGCAATCATGAGGAAGCCTGGTGAGGTTAGGCGTAGGTGGAAGGAATACACCCCATCAAACTCTGAACAGAGGATGAGGTGCGTAGAGCAATAGCAAAGATTAGGGTTGGGAAGGCAAGTGGTCCGGATGGGGTACCGATCGAGGCATGGAAGACGCTCAGAGAGCACGGGAGAACGTGGCTCATCCTATTCCTGTACACTCTGACCACCAAAGGAAAAATCCCTTATGCATGGAAGAACAGATTACCGTTCCCATCTTCGAGCAGAGGAGGGACGCGATGGAGTATTCCAACTACTGGAGGATCAGGTTGACTGCTCACACGATGAACTTATGAGCGGTTGGTCGACTAAAGATTGAGAGAGTTGGTCCCGATCTCACAGGATTGCTTCGAATTTATGCCTGGAAGGACCCAAGAAAGGCCCACAAGGATGCCATCTTCATAGCTGAGAAGTTATGCAGAAGTATCGAGAAAAGCGTAGACCCTGCTACCTAGCTCTTCTCGACTTGCCGCGTAAAAAGGCATTCGGCCGTCCCGCTGTTGGTGAAAACAGTACGTTCCAGAACACATGATCTTTTTGCTCACAGACACGTACGATGGCTCTACGACAACAACTCCACACGGCCAAACCGGAGCAATAGATGTCACTGTTGAGGTACACCAGGGATCAGCTCTAAGCACTTCCCTCTCCCTGCTTACCATGGACGTAATCATGAAAGAACTCATAAATGGATCGCTTAAAGCCATCCTTTACGCTGTTGACATCGCTCTGATAGCGGAGAGCAAAGAAGACCTGAGACAAGCTGCGGAAATGGCAGAAAGTACTGGTGGAGAAAGGGCTCCGGCGTTATAAGATTAAGTTCCCCAGCTCCGAGGAGTACATGGAATCAATCGTTGACAGACACGGGAAAGCCATTAATAAGGTTCAGGACTTCCGATACCTAGGGAGTCGCTGATGGTAGCGTGGATCACACCGTAAAAGCCCGAATAAACGCGGCATGGATGAAGTGGAGGGAGTCGACTGGCATCCTCCGCGACTGGCTCCAAAACTCTCAGAGAATAGGTGCACCAGACAGTGTGATAAGGCCCATGCTATAGGGCAGCGAGTATTTGCCCGCCCGTAATTAAATACCATGGAAGACAGCCCCAATTCGCTGAAATGAGAATGTTCAGCGGGCCTGCGGTTGGAGGCGGCTTTATTGGATCAGAAATGACTTCTCAGGGCGGCTATACAAACAGCTCCTGTCCAGCTAAAGATGAGAGAGCAGGACGTCATTAAGAAGGAACTAGCCGAAGCTGAAGTAACGGCAGAAGATACCGTAGTAGAAAGATGTGGGACGGGAAGACGTGCACTACATGCGTCCGAGGACGCCGCGGCAATTTGCGCAACGAAGTTCGTAAGGATTTGTACGACTCTGACGCCAATGTTCGGGGCACAAGATTGAATAAGTGTAGTTTAGAAGAGTCAGGTGATCTTTCTAATCTACTCTACTTCAAATTTGGGCCCCAATGATAGGCGCTAAACTCGTTCAAATCATTACAAACTTTTCCCGCGCATTTTCGGATGCACGTAAGTCCACATACCCGTGGGGACGACTGACGAGAGCCACGGACCCTGCGACGGCGCGGGATTGAAGTTAGGGAGAAGAAGAAGAAGGATAGCAGAGTTTTTGTGACAACAATATCTTTGGAGTAAAGTCGCGAAGGTATACACGATCACTCTTCCACACAGAAAGAGGAGGCAAATGGTTGATCGTGCTGTGTTTTGAATTTTGTTCTTTGTCGCCAGTCGAAGGACATTGCTGAACGCCATGCTGCGTGAAGGGTGATAACTAGGTTCTGCACGCAAAACTCGGGATCGTCCGTTGGAATATGATGCGCTAAGTCGTGCTGTATAAGAACCGTGAAGCATGAAGAGGAACGGAGTGCTGTTGATGTTGTAGTGAGTGGAGTTGTTGTACGTAGACGCATGCGTGCATTCTTACTTATCACGGTTCAGCCAATTCGCGTTGATGTATGTATAGGTGAACATACTAGGGTGTCCGCGGTGAACTGAGTCATTACGTCCAATTTCATTATCCTCTCGGACACAATGCATACAGTAATCGCCTCGCAATCGACTAGAAGGGTAGCGAAGAACACTTAGAAAAATGAGCTATCATCGCGAATATGTATTTGTTGTGACCCGAACCCATGCAAAGGGTCAGTTAGATCGACATAGACTACATCGACAATTGCTTTGCCTAAAACGAAAAAGAGCTGTTCACGATTATTCGCGTTAGGCTTTTGCCTTGGCAGACTCCACACGAGCCCAACAGTGCGAGATATTCTAGGTCATATGAGGCCAAAAACAATTGCATGAGAATTTCGCTAGCGCTTTATTACAGTTGAAGCAACTTCCTGAGAACGGAAATAAATGCAATGTCAAAAAGGGTTCCTTTAAAGACACGGTTCACGATAAAAAAGGTTACTGTGTAGTTCCTTTAGGAATACTCAGAGCCCCCCATGGGTGTGGGAGACCCTCTCGCTCCCACAATCTCGGCGCCTAGTTCATAGTGGAAGCCCCGTTGCTACCGTAGTTCGCTTTCCCGCCCCTCGATCGGTGTCACGTTAAANGAGTGTCGAGACAATACAGATTGCTATTATTCGTTCTAGGACCCACGCGCAATCAGCTAATCGCCGAGTGATGAGGCGATGTTTTTCTCAAATTTTTTTCCCTCTGTCTTTCTTTTTGCTGCCGCGATCGCTTATTTGATTTCCTACTTCTAGAGGCTGAAAAAGGTGAGCTACTTTTGCTGTTACTAGGGTTTTTTTTGTTTATTTATGCTTATAAGTGAATGAATTTTTGCTTACCATTGTCTGTTATTCGCATCAGGATCCACACCCGCGCAGTGAAACACACTGTTCAGCTCGTCCGGACGCCCCACTCTTCTTCATTTTTCTGGTTTCATTCTCGTCCAGCCCCCTTTTAAACGGTTTTTCGAAGTCTTTTCCACTTGAGAAACCCCGATGCACGCAGTTTCTTCACCTCAGTCGCACTGGTTTCGATCTTGTCTTCCATTTTTCATCATAATCTGGATTACCCAAAATTATCGTGAACTGTGCCTTTAATTTATCTGCTACAAGCAGCCGTTCACCCCATGTGCCAGGCAAGCTGCACTTGAGTATTTATATGATAAAAACAGTTATAAAGATGGGCTTCAATCCCTTAAACCTGAAAGAGCCTCTGTGCGGCAGCATAGGGTAGGATCGCTCGGAGTAGGCTGCTAAAATCTGAGGGCCATAGAAGGCTGTCTCAAAGGAGAAGGACCATTATGGCGGTCTGTTGGCGTCTGTGGTCTTCAACGCACAGACGCTTGCATAGGAAGCGTGAATTGAGTAGCTGACGCAAGCCAGGGCGGTCGTTAGACAAATAAGAAGATACCGTCCGTTGCAACCCATTCTCGAAAATGAAGAACTGTTCCTTGGAACACGACAGCAGAGGCGTCGGGGATATTGGTGTCCTCGTCGACACGCACTTAACCATGAAATGGATTCGCACGAAAGCTTGACAACTTTAATTGGATGTTTGCAATTTAGAAAATGTGGCTCAATTCTACCTCTATAGAGCCTTAGTTGCCTTCTCTATAAATCTTAGTTGCCTACGCACCAACATCGAGCCACGAAGATGAGGAAATCATCGTGCATTACACGCTCTGGAAAGACCCTACAAAGAAGACTATACTTCCTTCAAAGTCATCGTCGGTGATTTCAACGCCAAAATTGGTCTCAGAAGAACGGCTGAGGAGTCTCCACAACGTCACTAACGGAATGGAATGGAATGAGTAGGGGGAGGGCTATCGGAATTTTTCATGCCGATTAACACTATCCATGGCAATTCGCTGTTTGAGAAGCCTTCTCATTTGCACATGGGAGTCACCTGATGGACAGATCTATGAAGGAATAGATCACTCATCTTTATCCGAAAGTTTTGTCTGTCAGCGTCACTGTTGTTGCGAAGTTCTAAACGGGATCAGACCATCGTCTTCTCCGCACAAGACTGTATATCAGTGCGGCGAGAGAGCTGTGAAGTTCAGGTAACGAAGCTCTAGGACTGTTGTCCACTAGGATCACTTCGCCTCACTTGCAATTTTGTCGGGAGATTCCGTTAACCACAGCATCGACGAAGGGTACAACCGACTCGTTGAGCATAACAATCGTGTTAGAAATTGTGTAAAGTAATTGTGTAAAGCAGAGAGCCTACAAGTTCTCACAAAATTTCTGACTTCAAAGCATCGGTTTCGGACGGATCCTTATTTGTGCCTTCTGGACACCGTGCTCTTCGTCTCTTACACTGCTGGAGCTCTGCTTGTCATTGCCTATGACAAAAACAGATTCACAGTTTAACGGTTCACGGTTGCTGACACGGGCTAACCAGCTCATCACGTTTTTCGTGTGAGTGCTGATAAACTCTGCCATTAGGAAGGCAGGGCAAAAGGGGTTTGTAGGGCAAGGAATGAAGAGCATTATCTCTAGAAAGTGTAATTGCGGTTCAACTCCGGTCCGAAAAGATCGGCTCATTTCAAATACATCTTGCATGCCCTATTAGTCCTCTGTCGAATTTCGTGCTCCGAAAATATCATTTGGCCCCCAATGGTGAGGGATGATTTGCCGATTATTACAACCCTCCATAAGAAGGAGGGAAGCCCAGCGTTAGCTGGGCGGCCCGACTGGTAACTGATAAAACACCCTCGGTTTAATGACCATCGCTGAGCACAGTTCGTTATCCCCGTCCCATTTCGCTTCTCCATGCAAGGTTACCTACGGTAACCGCTGCCCTTGTCATTAACGTATACTACTACTTGCCTGAGCTCTGATCCTTAAGACGTGGTCCTCAAAGCAAAAGAATTTAATCACTGGTACTGACCAGCCTGACCTTTACTGCATTTTGCTAGATAGGTATTACGTTGATATCTTAACTCGCCGCCGGGGCTTCACCAGGTCCTCGCATAAGTTAAGGACTTCGTCTGGGAGTATGAAGTAGAACCGATTAAACCCTGCATTTCCCTCTGGCTATCTTTCAGTAGGCTTCTGTTCCACGCATTGCCACACTTGAGACCATCTTATACCTGTTTCCAGAGCCGCACATTTCGCGTTCGTAATCATCACAAGACCCTCACTACTCTATAGAGTCGAGTGCGCCTCGCTCTAACAGTTTCGAGGGTTCGCCGTATGCGGTCAGCGTCACCCTTGCAAATTGTACATTAATTCTCAGCTTTCTCAGTCAATATGAGCAGTAGGGACGTACTCACTGCTCAATACTGGATCCAATACGTACATATAAAAGGGAAGGAAGGTTAAACAACTAATTCCTTATGTAGACGTTTATAAAGAAGTACAGTGCAATTGTTGCATCCAACTTGAATGGGTCTCCAAAGTCGTTGTGTGTGATACTATCGGCATGGCCTCTCTGGAGTTGTCTTATTACATCTGCAGAGGCTGTCGTTCGAGATTAAATGCAAGTGTGAATATCCGTTGTAAGCTATGTTAACTAATTGTGGGCAGCTGGTTTGCCAGGTCAGGCCTCATCTGGCTAATCCCAGTGGCCCTTGAGCGGTTGCTTACTGTTGTATTGTTCTATTGAACTTTCCTTTTCATCGTTTCTTTGTTGGAATGTTGAAATAAAAGGTGATGAATGTTTATTTTGAAAACTTCAGTGCATAATGTGCAATCGCAGTCTATTTGAGTCTCATCCGGCAGTTTTCTATGAGTACAGTGATTCAAGTGATGCTAGCGAGCAGTCGTCTGAAGATGGAATGTCTACTGATTCGAGCGATAGCGAGTTTCTTGAAAAAGTGAATATGTCTTTTGTTC